TCTTTTGGATAGATGGCTACTACTAGAAAAAAAAGTTTAATCGACAAAATTTTTTGTCAATTATAAGGGACAAAAAAGAACAATATTCAAATATTATGAGACTAATAGAAAAACAAGATAAATGACAAGTAATTTACCTATAATGAAATAAAAAGATCTATAAAAAGAAAAACTATTTTTATACATTATAAAATTTTATTCAAATAAAAAGAAATGAAAAATATAAATCAAAATATGAATTTACCTCATAAAATAATTTTAAGCTTAATAATTTGCAAAAAATAAAAAATAAAAAATTATTAGCAGATCAAATAAAAATAATTGAAGGACAAATGAAAATAACAAAATAAATAAATAAATAAAATAAAAACCTTCAGATGAAAGAATGAAAGAAAAGGAAGGAAAAGTAGAAGGATGACAACCAAAAATGAAAATAGGAAAAGTAGAAGGAATGATGAAAGAGAAGTATAAACAAGAGGGAAAGATGACGACATGCAATGCAAGAATTAGAAAGGTAGAAGGGAAGGGAGAAGATGAAACAAGAAAGAAAAGTAAAAATGAAAAGAAGAAGAAGAAGAAGAAGAAGAGAAGAATAGAGGGAGAAGGGAAACGGGGTGAAATATATGTGGGAAAGGAAGGAGGAGGGGAGAGGTAGGAGAAGATAAGATGAGAAGATATTAATTTTCTGATTCTGTTTTTGTTTCTGTGTCCATATATATAAATAAAATATATTCGATAGAAATTTTATCAATTATATTTTAAAATGGTTGTCGGTTATATTTCAAATCAGATTAATTATGAAATTTAATTTTTCTTAGGTGGGGATGGCAATATGGGTATAATCAACAACCAATTTTGTCAATTATACTTGTATAATCGACAGCTATAATAGTATCTATAAATATTATATGTCTCATAAATTATAAATTCAGTAATAAAAATTTAATATTATCAAATGTGAAGTTATTTTTAGCTAATATTATACATGTATCTACTTTGATTAAATTATTAATTATAACACTACATATTTATACCTAATTTAGTTGTTAAATATACATAAAAAATATATAATATTAATTAAAAATAATTTTACATTTGATAATATTAAATTTTCATTATCAAATTTATAATTTACGAGATATATAATATTTATAAATACTACTTGTGGAAATTAAATATTAATATATATATTTACAAAATTTTAACATAATTGACAATACCATCGCAAGTATAATTGACAAAATTTTTGTCGATTATTTTTTTGTCGGTTAAATACTATTTTCTAGTAGTGGCAACTCTCTCCATTTTAACACGTTAACAATATTTTTTTATAATTTTTATATGTTATTCAATAAATTGATGCATTTAATATTAAAATTTTAAATGAATAAAAAAATTAATCATTTAAATAATATATAAAATTATACTAAAAGAGGAATTGCATATGGATTGATAATTTTAATTAATTAATAAATTAAAATATATTAAATTACATAATTACCCTCCACTTCATTTTCTTCGTTTCACATTCTCTTGCTTCCCTATCCTTTGATCTACCCGTTCTACCCCATTTCCTTTCTCCAGCTATCTTCATTCTCTATTTCCTTTTTCCATTTTCATCTTCTCTTCGGTGAATTCCTCATCACTTCTTTATAGGTACCTCTTTCTCTCTTTTCTTTTTCCCATAGTGGGTTGGTGAGAATCCAGAAGAAAACCTTGGGTTCTCAAGGAAGAACCATCGAACCCAATCGGGTTCTTTAGTTCATACCATTTTTGGCACTGCAACTCGTCTTCATTGAAGACGGCTAATGCAGTGTGATACGACCTTCTCCAGGTCCGTTCAGCGTTGCAATGACACCGGCTTCCAAATCCAAGACAATGGTGGAGAGGAAGGCTGCCCAAATTTGCAGTAATTTTCCATATTTTTGAAAAAAAAAATTGATATTTGGCCAAAGAAAAAGAGAATAAACTTTAAATTTCAAAATAAAAAATTTGAGTACTGGATGTGCTTCAATACCAGTTGATTTTTTTGTATTCAAGGTGAAAGAATTGTATGCCCTACAAAAGCCATCATTATTATTTACATGCATATTTCATTTGGGTGATTTGATAAATGTTACTATCCTTAGATCATACATTAATCATATTGATTATAGGGATGATCAAATGAAAAGATTTGACAATCTTAAAATTGTTCACAATCATAGGCATACTTTGGACAATATGCAACCTTTTCTGTGAGTATAGCCTGCTTTGGAATATTTCTAGCATACTTTTTATATAATCCTTTTTATTCATCTTTACAAAATTTGAACGTTTTTAATTCGTTTGTAAAAAAGGGTCCTAAGAGAATTTTTTGGGACAAAATACAAAATTTTATTTATGATTGGTCATATAATCGCGGTTACATAGATGCTTTTTATTCGATATCTTTAACGGAAGGTATAAGAGGGTTGGCTGAACTAACTCATTTTTTTGATAGACGAGTAATTGATGGAATTACGAATGGGGTCGGTGTTACAAGTTTCTTGGTAGGAGAAGGTATAAGATATGTAGGAGGAAGTCGCATATCCTCTTATCTATTATTTTTTTTATTTTATATGTTAATTTTTTTAGTAATTTATTACTTTATGATTTTTTTATAGTTTTTTTATGATTTTTTCACTTTCCATATATAGAAATAGAAACAAATATACTAGAAACAACATCTCTTATGTCAATGACACGAAAGGGATATGAAATGAATGGAATTGGGATATGGATGGAATATAATGAAATAGAGCCACTTTGGGGTTCCCTATGACATGAGGCATGGAACGGAGCCACTACGAAGAAGTTACGGGGGTTACGAAGGAAACCTCGAGTTCATATTGGCCATGGGTTGAGAACGGGAATTGAACTCTATGAGATCGAATCTCCCGTTCTTCCTCAATAGCTTAGTGGTAGAGCAGTCGGCTGTTAACCGATTGGTCGTAGGTTCGAATCCTACTTGGGGAGATTACTATAAGTGATAGAGTAATAAATTTCAATCACTAAAATGAGACTTTCAGTAACATAGTGAATATTTATATAAGACAAATATTGAACTGGACCATATAGAATAATCTTAAGTTAGTTATTGTCAAATAAAAAATTATTCTATCCTCAATTCATAAAAAGTTCTTAAACATGAAGATGTTATTTAATTTTATGTACAAATTATTTAGTTTTGATATTGTCAACCGGTAATTCCCAATAAATGGGATAAATACAGACATATTGGATTATATAATAAGTACATGAAAATTTATAACCATTTAATAAGGAATCACCACTCTTATCGTAAGAGAAAATATTCAAATTTGTGTCTCTTTTATGTTAGATAAAAAATCCAGCCGATCAATTTAAATCAATAGATAAATATTTTAATTTAGTTTTGAAAATTAAATTTTATCTAAAATTTATTTTCTAAATTGTTTTTATTATCTAAATATATTTAAAAGACACACATACAAATTTTAGATGATAGTTTTATAAAAATTCTAATTCAATTAGACTTTGTATGGAATATTAATTGGTGGAGGACTATTATATAATTATTGTGGTTTAAGAGATCTCACAAATTTATTTGTAATTTCTTGGATAAGATTGTTATCTACTGATGGGTTTTTTTATTACAATCTTAGATTGGTTTAAATTCAATTTGCCAAGAGATAAAAATCTTAAAAAGAGTCTCACGCAACATGTTATTTGTAATTCTAGTCTAACTATACAACCTTCCTATATATAAGACCTATTGATTTGTCAATATGGTATCTAATGTTTTTATAAGAAAAACAGAAGTTAGTGGGAGGAGAAGTCATCACTTCTTTAGGAGACAAAATTGAGGTATCGCATGTGAACTTTTAGAGAATTTTGTATGTATGAAATCTCTGTGAGTTTTCCTAATTTTTACATGAATATATTTGTATCATGTGGACTAATAATTTGTTTATAATTCTTAATTTGATTAAGTGTATTATAAACCCTTCGCAAGGCCGGCTGTTGCCACTTTGGGTAGTGAGGGCAGGCGCCACAAGCAAAGGATGCTCTACTTTAATTTTGTTTTTTAATTTTTATTGTTTAATTAACCTGAACTCACTAACTATTGAGCTCGATTCTATCTTGGTGATATGATTGTGTGAGAAAGAGAAGCTATTCATGAGCCTAGAAAGTTCACATTGGTGCCAGTGGCGTTGCTAGATCTGGGAGGGCGGGAAAAGGTTGAAGAATGGCATTTTGGTTATTTTATTTCGCAAAAAATTGATTTAAATTAATTGTAATGAGTGGATGTGATTTTTCAAAGTAACATTATAAAATTAAAATAGAGGAAATTTAAGGGCACAAATGCATTTATTATACATTTTTATAATTACTTTATATTGAAAAATAAAAGGTAACTTTAATTTTATTAACCATTTAATTAAAGTATACATGTAACATTAATGATAAAACTAATATCAATTTTTTTAATTTTTTATAAAAATTAAACATAAAAAAGTATAACTAATTTGTAAGGATATAAGTTAAAAAAACACTTAAAATAATTTTAATAATTAATTAAAGGTTAATTACCTTTTAAGTTTTTAATTATATAATTAATAGATTATATAATTTAATCAAAATAGATGCATCCAATCATTTGTCCAACTTATATGCCACATCAACCAACACATCAGCGAAAAAATGCCTCACTACCAGTTTATGTGCCACATCAACCTACATTAACAATGAATGAACATTCGTTGGAAAGTTAAAGAAGGACCAAAAAGGTGATGGAATTTAACATTTAAAGGAAATTTTTGTACTTTTTAAAGTCTAAGAATCATTTTAGCACAAAACTAAAAACTCAGGGACCATTGGGTATTTTAACCTTGGTTTTTCTTAGAAGAACTGAACTGTCCTTCCCATGCATGGAACAGGGAACGCCACTCGACGTGTGGGACTTTGGTTAACTGACCTGAACGAACGAAAATTTTTGTCATGACGTGTTTTGAGAAGTAAAAGCAACCGCGTCTAAAAACTAATACATCCTCGACATCATTTTGAAATCATTGCATTCTATAAACATAAAATGACGTTGTGCTTTTTCAAATTATTAGCAATATTTATAGTCTATATCAAAAAATTACAAGAAAGTAGAAAAAAAATAATAATAATAATAGAGTGTTGGGGAGACAGTCCAATATTGGCCAGAGGTTCAATTGGTGGAAGACCCACTTGAGCGAGAAACTTAGTAGGAGCCCAAGTAAACAGATAAATAATAAAATCACACCCATGTGACTAGTGACACTTTGACCAGTTGAACAAGGACATGTGATATTATTGTTATATATAAGAGGTATAAATACCCCATTTATCTTTTTGGAAGATAATAATTTTACTATACTTCTCTCTCTACAATATTTATTTTTGAGAGCTTTTTTCTTTAAAATAACTTAATATTGCTAATTCGAGTGTCGAAGCGTCAAAGTGTTTTCTCTGAAGATACTTCCTTGGAATTTTCAAGTATTGGAACAATTCAATACCTCAACAGTGTACAAGCTCATGAAGTTGCCTAAACAATTGGCACTATCTATGGGAATGGACAAAATAGTTACCTAGTTCTATCAGTCATGGGACTATGGTATGGACTTTCACAAGAAATTAGCCACCTTAAACAAATCAAATGAATGATCAGCCCCATTTTCCTAGAATTGACCCTAATGAATTTAGACCCTCACCTGACAACCTATTTGTATGAGCTAAATTTATATACATATTAATGTAGAATTTTTATCTTAATATTATTGATTTTTAGATAAGTTTTATGAGATTTTACTTGATTTTACATAATTTTCATTATTTGTATAAGAAAGGACATATTTGGAAGAAATCATAACTTTTTAGCACCAAATTGCAGAGATGAAAAAAAGTTGAGGATTAAGTGGCATGGAGTTCTGAAGTTAGAGACCAAGACTGTCATTTGACCATTAATGGAAATCACTTAAAAGGCCAAAAACCCAGCACGGATTCAGCACTTGACTAAAAGTGTCAGCACGTTGCTGAAAGTGTTGACCTCTTATGCGATTTTAGCAAGTTCCTAGATGGCTTGTTATTTTGGTGTGGGTCCAACTTCTATTTTGATTAGATTTTTTTAAATCTTATAAATACTCATCTAAGTCCAAAATTAAGAGAGTTTTGGGAGATTGGTGGCAACCTTCTTTTAGGCATGCTTAGAAATCAAAATAAAGGATTTATTTTGCTTTTTTTTTTTAATTACTTTTTTTCTATTATTTGATATTCAAATGTTTATAACTATGATTTCAGGGTTTATTATTTTTATTGTGAACTAATTTAGCCAACTAGAGTTACGATGTAACTTAATCAATTCAACATAGGTTTTTATAATTTTTATACTTTTAAGATTTTTATTTCATGATGAATATATATTATTACTCTCAATGTTTTTTAATACTTGATCACCATTAAAATTGATATGAAGAGTATGATTGAGATTGAAAGAAAATTTTATGTAATAACTTCTAATAATATATACCATGAATTGAACAAAAGTCAAAGATGGACTAGCATGATTCATGCAATATTAGTGATAAGTGAAATAATTTTTTACTTAAATAGAAAATTTCATATAATATAATACATTTTTATCTATTTAAATTCACATAGAGATATAGTGGGTTAATAAGTTAAGATAGGTTTGGTATAACTTAAGAAAGTATATCGAATAGGATAAGAAATTCCATTGTCATGTGAGTAGTATCATCTTGAAAGCATAATAATTTAAAATCCATCTTGATTGGTTATGGTGAAGTTAATACCGTATTAGTACCTTATATCTTGATTAGTTTTATTTTAATTGTTATTTTCTTTTTATTATTTTTAATTAAAGTTTCTTCCTTTTCAATTATTCAAGTAAATTTAGATTAATTATTTTTGGTACGTAGCTAATCACAATCCTCGTGAGTTCGACACTCTTCTCATCGTTATATTACTTGGAGCGACTAGTACACTTATTAGAGTGATTTTAGTGCATCAAGAGGGAGTTGAAGAAGTAAAAGACAATAGTTTTGATGATGAGAGAACTTTAACAGAGTATGCAACGCAGCCTAAGGAGCAGGAAAATCGACCCCATGTAGGGTTTCAATTGAATAGGCACCCAACTTGCATATCATTACGACCTAAAGTCCCCATGCCAACTACACAACATTCTAAACTTGAAGAGAGAACCAAGGCCCTGGAAATGGCACTGGGAAAAATTTTATCTCACCTTATTCCTAGAGACCCCCTGATTTCCTTATTGAACCAAGATGAGCAACCAATAAGAGCTCCACCTCGTCAATCCCTAGGTCTAAGTAATATCATCATACCCACGTGACCCAGGGGAAATGGATGATCTAATACTAAGCCTAGCTCATCAAAATCAAATGAAGAAATGTTGAAAAAGAATGTTGAGCTAGAGAAACAACTCAAAGAGATTCAAAAATCTATTGACAAGCTAAAGAATCCTAGGCCATGGCTTCAAGCCCCAAACCTAGATAATGCTCCTCTTAGCTTATCAATCATGTCTGAGCCATACTAAGAGAGGTTTAAGATCCCTCATCTTGAAACATATGATGGCCTTGGAAACCCAACTGAATATATGCACACTTATTAAGCCATTATGAAAATACAAAATGCCTTTAATGTAGTAATGTGCAAAATATTTCCAACTTCGTTGAAATCAACAGCTCGAAAATGGTATCACAAGCTCCCAAGTTACTCAATTAGTTCGTACTCCCAGCTCGCCACATTGTTTTCTAACAAATTTGCAAACCAAAAGAAAATAAAACACACAGCTACTGAGCTAATGCAAGTC